ACTCGATCCCCACTTTTATTTACTTGTGTCTTTGTGAGTGTTTACATTTGTTCTCTAATCCACAGCCCCCATTCCATTCAGGCATGCATTCATTTATCCATGTGGACCATGGCAGTGCTGGCTCAATTCCACATGATGACCATGGTTCAAACTCCTGGTCTGTCAGCCTGAAACATGCCGACCCTGCATGCAGATACCCAAGATCCAGTGGCCTAAAGTACTAGAGGAAGAGACTGTGGCATGACCAGATTCTGGACAGATTTCTTTCTCTTTTCTCTCCCTCCCTATGTGTTCACCTGTGTTCTATCATGATATCATGAATTATATATATATATATATAATTCCCCTTTAATGGGTTTATGGGGCCAGAAGTGGGCTGGAGAACTACAGGAAGGGAACTGTGGCATGACCAGACTTTGTAGAGAGTGTTTATCTCTCTCTCTCTCTCTCTCTCTCTCTTTCTCTCTCTCTCACATGCACCTGTGTTCCAGCATGAAAAAAAAAATTAATTTCTTTACTGGGCCAGCAGGTGGAATAGTGGATAAGGCATTGGATTCCCACATGGACAACCATGGGTCAAATTCAGGACCCGGTAGCTTCAAAATCACGTCGGGCATGCGTGCGTGTGTGCCCACAATCCCAAGAAGGGAATGAAGAAAATGAGATTGCAGCATGGTCATCCTCCCAAGGAGGAGGATGATTTCTCACTTTCTCTCTCTGTCCTTCTTCAGGTGAGTGCACGCACCCCGATGGCAAAAACCTTTAAAAAACAAAAAAAATGGTTTACTGTAATAACTTCATTTGGGACCCTAAATAGAATTACTCAGCATGACTACACACCTTAGTTACTAGAGTTGGATATGAATGACTTTGGATTGTTTCCAAAGTTCGAATCCACTCACAAAGCATGAAAATTGGTCGATTTTTTAATGACTGTGCTAGAAGACACTAAATTGCAGACAGCCTATGATTGTGACTGTGAGGATTAAAATGTGCAACTGTGAAAAGGACAAAAATACAGTAAAATGCAACAATGGTTAAAATACAATGGTAAAAGGATAAGTGACATATCCTAATTTTCTCCTCCATTTTCTAAATTTTTGATAACATAGGCTTGAGATATTATTATAAAAGAAATTTAATTAATAGTGAAACATGGCACAATGCCTCAAGATGGAATTCATATTCTATATTTTAAGTTCAGAGTGAGAAAATGGGAAGACATCTTAAAGACTATGTAGTCTAATCTTTCATTCACGATGGCAAAACATGACACTGGTCTAAATGACTTACATAGTCTGCTATCAAGTTATTGGCAGGGTCAGGGTCCACATTTTATAATAGTTTATATCATACTTTTATAATAGTTTATATCATACTCCCTACTATATCAATACTTTCAGGAGATTTTCTAAAACTATTATATACCTTCCAACATGGCATCGCAGGAGAGAACACACTTAAGAAAAAGTCTAATGAATTTTAATAAAGAATTCACTTTCACAAAGTTGCACTTTATATAAACAATGTCTTGGTATTTAAACCTATAAAGAAAATTCACCTTGAATATTTCTACTACTGCCTAAAGGAAATGTGGTTATGCCCTTAGAGTAACGGGAAAAAAAAAAAAAGAGTAATAGCTATGGAGGGGGAAAAAATCAGAACAATTTATCTTTAATAATAAACTATAGCAGAGAAAAACGCTACCCAAAGGTCAGGGAAGACAAATCCAATCTATTCTAAAGTTCAAAGGTATAAACCATTTTACAAAATATGCTTTAGAACCTTAAGATATAACTTGTTAAAATATCTTTGAAGTTTTATATGTTCATATATATATCAAATCTTTCCTTTCATCCTTCAATTAGGGCCAGTGAATATTAATAAGCTTTATTTTTATTGCCTTTACAGACTTAAAGTATTCTTTTTTTTTTTGGAGAAGTTTTTTTTGTTTTGTTTTTTTTTGCTACAGAATATTTTCTTTTTTTTCATAGAGAGATTTTTTTGCTATAGGGAACATGCGCTCACCAGACAGAGAGAGACATAGAGACAAAAAAGCAAGCAATCACGCCCCAGGGGGGATGGTCACGCCGCAATCCCTTCTCCTCCATTCTCCTCTCGGGATCTTGGGCATGCACGCACATGCACCCAGCGTGAATTTTAAGCCACTGGGTCCGGGACGCGAACCGCGGTCGACTACGTGGGAGTCCAGCGACATAGCCATTATGCTAACTGCTGGTTCCCACAGACTTAAAGTATTCTAAAGGGCCACCTACTTTCCTTTCTTGCAACAGCCTACTAGGTCACCTCTTCTCTCTTGAGGTTGGAATTTTTCTCATGAAGCATCCTTTACCTAGCATTTAAAAAAGACTGGTCAGTCTTCAGCTGTACTAAGTTTGGACAGTTACTTCAAGATAAAGCATTCTGTTCTTTTTCTATTTCTTCCACATTTTAGCCCCAATTTGACCTGGGAAGATTCGGTAGCACTAAATTTATAAATTCTCTAGAAAATTTCCAAAGTATTCTCGATTTCTAACAACTATTCTTATTTTCATTGCCAGAGGGCACATGTGCTCACCACAAAGAAACAGCTCTCAATGGGACCTGGTCAAGTATTCTCGATTTCTAACAACTATTCTTATTTTCATTGCCAGAGGGCACATGTGCTCACCACAAAGAAGAAACAGCTCTCAATGGAGCCTGGTCACACCACCTTTTTCCTCCATTTCTCTATCCATCAGGATTTTGGACATGTGTTTCAAGTTGCTGGGCAGGGACCTGACCACAGTTGGCCATGTGGGACTGGACTCTCTGTAATAGGGCTTAATCCACTGTGCTATAGGGCAGGCCCCTTTCATACTTATTCCAGATGTGCTAATCTTGTTTCTTGAACACACAGGCTAGCTTCCACCTGAGAACCTTTCCAATCATTTATTCTGCCTAAAATACTCTTACCACAGGTATGCAAGTGGCTAACTCACATTAGAAGGTCTTTGATGACCTCCTCAGTTAAGTCCTTTCTGGTTACTCAATCTAAATTTCAACTCTTCCTTGATGACATTACAGTTCTTCCTCTATGACATTTTATGTATCCCCCCTCTCTGCCTTTACCCCTAGATTCTTACTTCTAACATTATACACATTTTGCTTGTTTCCTCCAGTAGAATTAAAGCCCAAGAACAGGAGCATCTGTTTTGTTCACTGCCACATCCCTAGCACATAAAAAAGCACCCACCATCAAAGGTACCCAACAAATCTAATAAATAAACGGAAAATAGCGATTATCAATCGCTCTTGAACAAATCACCCCCCAAACCAGTGGCTTAAAACAATAATTTTATTACCCTTCACAGCTTTGGGGGTTCACTGGGCTCAGCTAGGCGGTCCTTGCTCAGGGTTTCAACAGATATGATCTGAGGATCGGGCAGGAATCACCTAGAAGTTCACTCCCTGATATGCCTGGTTCCTGGACCAGAAGATTCCAAATTTGGGGACTGAAACTACAGGAGTTCCTCAGGCATCTATCTATCTCTATTTCTATATGAGCCCTTCATGAGATCTCCCTAGTTAGAGGTTTCAAGGTTGTAGGACTTCTTACGTGGTAGCTTAGGATGCCAAAGCAAATGAGAGAGAATAGTGAGGAAGTTGTATCACCTTTTATATCCAAGCTCTGCCACAGCCAGACTCTATAATCACATAGATCACATAGTCTCATTCAGGTGCAGAAAGACACATACATTTTCCTTTTTTTTTTTTCTTTTGCATAGGGAATACAATGGTTCTAGAAAAGAAATATTGAAGAGAAAGATTCAGGGTAGAAACGGCATAGCTATTTTATAAAATACAATCTGCTGCACCAAGCATTAACAAATAGAAAAAGAGTGAGTTCAAAGGCCAATGTCCCATCAAAGTAGTGAATGGGGTGTACCTGAGGAAGGTAATAATCCCCATAGGCAAGAAACAAGATTAAGGAAGTACTGATCACCTGCAAAGGTACTCAACCAAGCACACCAGAGTTTGAGGGGCCACAAAGACTGAAGTATCCAGAACCTTACGTATAGAGAACATCAGACGTCAACAAAGGATTTCCATCAAGAGTCCTAGAAACTTTATTTCTGGCTTTTAACACTAACCCTGCAACCTAGGGTTAATTTGCCATGTAGCATGGGACCTCTATTGTTCGTTTACCAGTAAACCCTCACTGGAGATTCCTGATGCATCCTCATGTCAGCCTTTCCTAAGCAAAGGCAGATTATTTTCATTATAGTTTTCTCTTAGGAGATTCCTCAGTTCTAAAATGTGAAGAGACAGAAAAAGTTCTTAAGACTTTCATCCTGCCAATTCCTAAAGTTAATGGACTTGTCTGAATGATAGTCAAAAATTTTTTTAGTAATCCAAAGTTTTCTTATATTACCTATTCTAGAGCAAAGTTTTAATGAATCCATGTTTTAAGTTCATACATTGTATTTATGTAATATTAAATCTTATTGAGATTTTATTTCCTCACTTGTAATTAGACAAGACTGTAATTGTAATTGTGAACAAGGCCAATTCATCTTCATTTATAGATCTTTAAAACAATAGACACTTTTTTTCCTCTTTCAAGTTGGGTCAGGACTCCCAAATTACTTTAATTATACTTTTTAAAGAAGTTATGCTACTGCTACTCACCTTCTAGCTTTACAGCTAGAAAGGAGTCTTTTCTGGGTTCCAGATGTCCACTTATCTTGGCATTCATGACACTGAATTTCAGCAGTTTGTCCATATAGTCTCCTGGTCTTCTCACTCTTTCTATAGAAGCATTAAGTAATACATTCATGAAGAAAACAAGATACTGGAGTCCCCTATTTTTTAACCTACATGTTTATTTGTCCAGTGTAAGTCAATATTAGTGTTTTTACATGAGGCTGAGTTCTGAATTAGTTACTGTATTTATTTGAACATACTCTTTCACTCATCCCCCCTTCATCCAGCCTAACAATAATTTCATTTACTTTCAGCTCTCGGACTGTCGCAGGACGTCGCAGGTGCAACTTTCATGGCAGCAGGTAGTTCAGCTCCTGAGTTAGTTACTGCTTTCCTAGGTAAATATGTTCCTTGTACTTTTTGCTTACTCAATGTAATTTTACTTTTTCAAGTTATTACTAATTTAGCTACCACTATTTTGCTCATAGGAGTATTTATGACAAAGGGAGATATTGGCATTAGCACTATTCTTGGATCTGCAATTTATAATCTCCTTGGCATCTGTGCAGCCTGTGGTTTGCTTTCTAATGTGGTATGTAAGATAACTCTATTCAACCAAGCGTATTATCTTGACAACTTCTAAAAATAACTGTTTTCAGTCTGAGATGAACAACAAGGCACTAGTAATGTGTTCAATCAAATTTATTTATCAGTAGAAAAACAGTATGTATTCAAGTTAAAGTTAACCCACAAATAGCTCTTGGTCAAATTTAAGAAAGTCAGTGTAGTTTTAGAAACAAGATCGTTCTTTAAAATTCCTTTTTTTCTATGCAATTTGTAAAATGTAACAATATTTAACTGCAAATATACAAGCACCTGTAGTTTTTTTCCTAAAATTGTATTTGAAGAAGTTACACTGCAATGGAAACAGAAAATTATCATTTTACAGGTTTCAACGCTGTCATGTTGGCCCCTATTCAGAGACTGTGCAGCATATGCAATTAGTGTAGCAGCAGTTCTTGGCATAATATTTGACAACCAAGTTTACTGGTAAGCTTGAAATAATTGTTATTCATATGTAAAATAATTACAGAGAGGATTTTTATGAAATTCTGATGGTTCAATAATACTTCTTTCTCTTAGAAATTCTATTTCAGTCACTTTTCAACTATCACCAGTTCTGCACCACATTTCAATGGTAACTTCCTCATCACAATTGCTGGTTAGGTTCTTCTTACTGCTTCTCGATTTCCTCTAGTCACCTCACAGTCTCCCTGTTCTCTCACTAGTCTCTGGAGACCGCCACTCTTCCTCTCCCCACTGGCTGCCTAGTGAGACCCCAAAGGCTGCCTTTTACTTCTACTGAGTTATTGTTTACCTTTCCTTGTTCAGAAGTGCTCAAGGTCACAAAAGGTCAGAGAAAAATGGTAGAAGAGGTAAATCAAATCCCACTGAATCCCTACAAACCTCTCTGATGCTCACTTAGCAGGAGGAACTACGTAACATCTTTCCTCTAAAAAACAACAATAACAAGTTTGAATATTAAAAACTGTTTGCTCTAAATGCAATCTCTTTGTGCTTCTCTAGCTGGTCCAGGAGAATAAAAAAGAGGGTAATTTAATGAACAGATACCAGTTTTTTCAACTAGTAAGCACCAGGCATCTACTAGGAATTTGTCACTATGATAGGTGCCATGTAAAATGTAAAACACATGATCAGACAGGTTGCGCATTGCACAACTACAAAGGACACCAAGGAACTAGTAAGCCATGCCCTTCTAGAGTACTATAACTCAACAGGAGTGTATAATAACCCGCTGAAGAGAAATTTTAAATCTAGACAGGATAATTTCTTTTTTTCTTAGATTTTTGCTATAGGGAGTGTGCACTCTCCAGAGACACAGAGATTGAGACAGGAAGCGAAAAATCACCCTCCCCACCCCCCGGGAGGATGGCCACATTGCAATCCCTTCCTTCTCCATTCTCCTCCTGGGATTTTGGGCATGCACGCACATGCGCCCAGCATGAGTTTAAGCTGCTGAGTCTGGGACTCAGTCTGTGGTCAACTATGTGGGAGTCCAGCAACGTAACCATTACACTATCTGCTGGTCCCAAGCCAGGATAATTTCTAAATTAATCATCCTGACAACTAGTCTGTTCCCCCAACATCGAGTCTAGTACAGAAGGGGTCCTTCTGGAATACAGCAGCTGTCCATAAGGGTCACTGATTGTGTGAGTATCCAAGTTAATGCTCCCTCCCTATCAGGGAAATCAGGAACTCTGTTTTTCCAGTTGTAGAAGAATGAGATTCACTGGTTATTATAAATAAAAGGTGTGTGCAAGGTTCAAATGTGATGGCACTAACTAATTCCAGTTCTTTAAGCAGAAAACCAGAATACAGGGAAGCAGGTCTTGGTGCCTAAGCTATAATTTCTGTGGGTGCTTTCCTATGAATATAAGCCAAATTCAGCTACATTAAAACCACCAAAAAACTCTATAACACAGAAAAGCCCTAGCCAAAATCTAACAAATTCTGAATATTTTACACAAAGTTCCTATACTATTTTCTTTTGAATTACTACGTATTTCTTTTGTAATTACTATGTAATTACTATGTATTATTCACCAAAATTGAGGTGAAAAATGTCCATCACTATTCAATTGTTTCATTTTTAAAACCTCTATTATTTTCAAAGCATTTTTTATGTATATCATTTGGAAAGATTCTACAAAATGAAGACAGTAAGTTTACAACCTTTTTCTTTAAATACATTGGGTCATCAGGAAAGTCACAAAGCATTTTTCCATAGAAAGACTTAGAAAAATTTCACGAGTTTCCCAATGACCTAATAGAATAGTATCAAGCTTTTATCTATAAATTTATAATAATGCTAAAACCAAGTTCAAACAAATTCACAAAAAAAAACAATTCTTCAGAAATATTTCTTTGTTCCAGTGTTTCCTCTGTTAGAAAATGATTAAATAGATACTGTCGCAAAGCTATTATCTCTAAAATGATTTTTGTTTAAATAATTTTAAAACACAAATCCCTTTAACCTATAGGTATGAAGGAACTTTACTACTTTTGATATATGGATTATATGTTCTGGTGCTGTGTTTTGACATCAAAATTAACCAGTACATGATAAAGAAATTCAGTCCTTGCTGCACCTGTCTTGCTAAAGCTATGGAGGAGAGAAGTGAACAACAGCCATTGATAGGATGGGAAGACGAGGGTCAACCGTTCATCCGGCGGCAATCAAGAACGGACAGTGGAATATTTCATGACGATTCTGGCTACTCCCAGCTTTCTATAAGCTTCCATGGTCTTAGTCAGGTTTCTGAAGGTAATAACCACATCCTGTCCACTATTATGTTTATTCACTAGAAGAATCTGGGAATCTCATTTCAATTCAGCAAATCTGGAGTATTTGTTATGTAAAAGACTGGAAATTCATAGATGATAAAGTCTCTACCTTTAAGGAACTTCAAATACTATAAGAAAGAAATGGGTAAAAACAAACATCATAAAGAGATAAAGGCATAAAGTGTTAACTGTGGTTCAGAAGTGGGGCAGACAGTATAAAACATGGTGAGGACAGGTAGACAGAGTACCACAGAAAAGAAAGATTTAAACTAAGACTGTCAGATAGGTAAGATATTTAACTAGTGACTTGGTACTATGACCAATAAGTAACAGCTATTCGAGTCTGTACTATGTACGTGACACAGCATTAAGAGTAGTCTGTGGATTGAGGTCAAGGAAATAACACCAGTGAAAGGCCTGTTCTCGTACTGGTATAACTGGAGCACGGTGCAGTACAGGCATAGTAAGGAAGCAGAGGAAAGGAGTATAGAAAGGAACAGGATGGAAGAGTCTTACAGTTAGAGTGAGAAACTTGGTGAAGAGGGGAATTAGGAAATTGCCACAACTGTACTGCTGGAGTAGTACCTGAAATGATGTCATAAAAGAGCTGAGACATGTCGTAACAGACAGGGAGGCACGGAGAAATTACAGCACAGCTTATGTGTTTATGAGATGCCCACAGAGTGAAGGCAGTGGGAACGAAACAGAACAGATGTGAGAAGATGCAGAGGAAGTATCACTTGAGACTTAGCTATGGAGGGATGTATAAGAACCAGAAAAGGGAGTAAAGACAACCCCAAGCTTTGGACCTTGACTGACAGGAAATGAGAACACTGCTATTAAAAAACAAATTCAGGGGCCGGCGGGTGGCATGGTGAAGGGTGCTCATCTCCCACATGGCTGACCACGGTTCAAGTCTCAGACCTGGCGGCTTCTCTCTCACTTTCCCCTTGACTGACAGGAAATGAGAACACTGCTAATAAAAAACAAATTCAGGGGCCGGCGGGTGGCATGGTGAAGGGTGCTCATCTCCCACATGGCTGACCACGGTTCAAGTCTCAGACCTGGCGGCTTCTCTCTCACTTTCCCTCTTGTTCTCTCTCATTCTGTCCCTCTCTGGTCAAATTTAAAAAATAAAGTTAAATAAAATAATTATTTTTTTTTA